GATACGATAAAGTATAATGATGTACATTGAAGTAATAAAAAAAATTAAGAAATAATTTCTTATGCAAAACACTTTTTGTAATTTTATTTTAAAGATTAATTTTAAGACTTCAATTAAATTACTAGAGTAATATGAAAAAAAGAATTATAAATATAATATTTAATATATGACTAGAAATATGAATCAAATCATAAAAAAATTAAAAAAAGATAAAATAGTTTTTTTTATAATCTATACTAAGTTTTGTTAAAAATATTAATTTCTCATATTGAATTGAAATTTACCAAAAATAAGTATTAACACAAGTAAATTCTGAGTGACCAAAAAAAAAAATTACCTAGATATCGTCTTCAATCTTATCATCAATCAATCACACAAATCGTGGAGGCGCCTGAAATTAAAAATTAATTAATTAGTTAATATTTGAAGAAAAATATATAACAAAACTAAATATCTGAAGTTATATCAGAGAAGTAGTTCACCATGAATTTGTAGGACAGGGATAACTATAAATCATCATAGTAATAAATAAAAATAAATAGTGCTTGAAGCTCTTAAGTAAAATTGAATTTTTTAAGTTAATCAAAATTTAAATAATTATTATTTTAAATAAATGATGTAAATTATGTGTACAAATAAATAATGCATGTGTATTTGTTTATAATTATAATGGTTTAATTAAATTTGAATTTATATTGTGTAGTGCTTTGAACAATAAATCGAAAAAAAGTAAGAACTGACAAAATTGTTTTTAAATTGTAAACTTTTGGTATACAAAATATATTAAAAATGAAATCTTAACACATTAGTAATAAAGTATTTACTAAAGTAATGTAACTATATATGAATATTTTTTATTGATATCACCCCAACTAAAATTGTGATTTGAATAATAAATAAAAAGTAAAAAATGATTTCAGTTTAAATAATATTTATTTTTTATTTCTAAAATTGAAATGAAATTTTTTTGAAAACATTTTTCATACAATCCTACAAAATATAAGAATATCTCACCTTTTTGTTTTGAAAGACGCACCAAATTCATTCGAAATGTCTGATACATCTGCAAAAAAAAGAAAAAATTTAGTACTGTGCAGAAATTAATAATAAATATTTGTGCACTTAGAAAGAAATTCAGTAAAACCGTAAAATCACGATCTTCATACTGGGGCGGTAGGTTTATCATCATTGAATTGAATTATAAAAATTAAGATTAAATTAATAAAAATATGTAACAGTAATAAAAATACTAAAACCATGTTGAAGACTGTATCATGTCCACTGATAAGTCATTTTTAAATTCGAAAAGTTAATTAATTAATTAATATTATAAGAGTCTTATACAAAAACATACATAATGACTATTCAAAAAAAAAAAAAAACAATTATGCAGATATGCAGTCTTAAACATGTTATTGAATATCAAAAAAGGGTTAAAAAAAATCAAGATTTAAAATTTAATAAAAAAAATGATTACTAATATCAAAAATTATTAATGAAGCAGCTACCATTTTAACTTTTCACCTGAAGTTTATTAAGACATTCCTGAAGAGAGATTGATTCCAGTTATTTTAATTGGATCTTCATATAATTTGTCATATATGAAATATTAATATGTGTTGTAACTAAATGTACCGTACCAACAACTTTCGGCACTCCATTGTAACAGTAAAAGTCACTATGAAGTTTCCTAGAGTGGTTTAATATTCCCAATAATAATTATAATTTGGCACTAAAAAGTTAATTATAAACATTTTAGCGGGGCAATTGGGACAAGAATAGTTACAGATCTATTAAGAAAAAATAGAATATTAAATACCTGTATATCGTTTTAATTTTATAAAAAACTTAAATTTAAATACAAATCTTGAATGAAATGATAGATGTGTACATGGTTATTTGGTGAAAAGGAATCTCAAATTTAAATATAAATGAACACACCAAGTTGTGTTAAGAAAGTCGAGTAATAAATAATGCAATACCTTTTTGTGAACGGTTTGGACCACTCAAATATGCACCAGAAGATTTTATTTAAATTTTGTACATCTGCAATAGAAAGAATTTGAATTTAATATATATATTTGTGCAAATAAAACAATTTTTAATTACAGTTTCATTCAAAATAATGTTACTAAATTATTGATTATTGTATAACAAATTATATAGTTCATAAAACAGAATGTAAAGAAAAGAATTATATAATAATAAATTGAATTTCAATCCATAAAACAAAACAAAGAAATTATTAAATATTCATATTGCTTATAAAACAATATATAATTCGTATCAAAAAAATTATATAATTTATAAAAGAAGAAAACAATTATATAATAACACAGATTCTGTAAAACAAAAATATGTTTAAATCATAAAACAAATTTTAAATAACAAAAAATTAATTTGTAAAATAAACTATAATCCATAAAACAGATTTTAATTAATTAATATTAAAATTCTTAATTATCTTTTACTGTTTCCATAACTTTTGGCACTCCAATAGGACATAAAACATCATTATGAAGTTTCCTAGCAGGAAATTATTATACCCAAAGATAAACTAATGTTGGCACTGTCGAGTTAATGGATAACAGGCAGCGTGGCAATTGGGATAAATATAAAAAAAAATATGGTTAATTACCTTTTTGCAAGCCCTAGAGAATTCTCAATACAATCCTTTGTATTCCTCTTGCTCATACAATGTTTGATCTGTAATTTAAAATAATTATAATTAGTTATGAACAAATATTGTAAATTAAACTGGGTTTGTTATCAAGTTCAGTTAAACCGTATAATCAAAGCTGTCATACTGGGGCGGTAATGGTATCATCATTGTAAAGGACGTAAATATAAATAGTATGACAAAACAAATTCATAAAATACTTTATTGAAACAGAAAAGAGAAAATAAATTAGTTAAATAGAAGTGCTCTTCTACACTATCATTAGTATTTTAATTCAAATCCAGGATATTTTTGAACCTCATGTTACAAGATGTAAAATGAACAAATGTATAAAAATAAAATTGTAAATAATTACCTTTATTAGTTTTTGATAGGCTGGACAGACCTCACGAGCTCAATTCCAGAAATCCACTTGCAATTCAGGTACAACGCTGCAATCAAATATATTGATTAGTTTAGAAATAATAAAATTGAGTATAATTTAGTATAATTAATATAATTGAGTATAATTTAATTGTTAAAAAGTATTGATTCAGGTAACCGTATAATCAAGGACCTCATACTGGGGCGGTTAAAAGCTCATCATGGTATTAAAGTTTAGTTGTTTGAAATATTTTTAGTATTATTACAAAACTAGGTATGCAATAAAAATGTTTCATTAAACGAAGAAAACAAAACTAAGGATTTAAAATAATTACCTTGGTAGAGTAGAAGCAACTGTAAGTCCATTTCCAGGAAACTGATGGAAAAGAAATTTAAGTATTTAGATTGTTTGCAATTATTCAAAATAAGCAACAAAATTGCATTTAAGATAAATGTATTTGAAATTCAGTGATGAAGATTAATAAAAGTGTTTTCAAAACTTGAACCTGTATATTGCAGTTTTTATTAAGTGTTGTATTTAAAATTTCAATAATAATTTTTGTTACTTGTTTTTCTTTAGTTCGTAACTTAGACATGTAGATGTAGTAATTTATAATAATAGTAATTGATAACAATAGTAATGTATTGCCAAATAATGAAACTAAAAGATATGTATCAAATTCAATTAATTAATATTAAATTTTATTTGTTAAATATTAGGTATTTAATATTTTATATTCAATAAATTTTTTGTAAGTATACCACTATATATAATTGCAAATGTTCAATTTGGCTAAGATATTTTTTACACATTAATGCGTGTAATAATAACCAATATTTTTGTACAATTGATCTTAGAAGTATCAGCAAATGTTATGCTAAAAACAAAAATTGTGATTTAATTCTTTAAATGCTTATAAGCACATTTTAGTAAATAAAAATATAGAAGTGATAAATTTTTTTTTTAGTAAATTAAAATGCAAATAAAATAGTGAATATTTAATTTTTTATCCATAAAGTAATAAAGATTCTAAGTTCTTATAAAGATTTAAAAAAAAAAAACAGTAAATGAAAATGTAAAAAACGGTGATAAATAAATAAGTAAATTAAAATGCAAAAAATATTAAAATTTTAATTTTGTATCCAGAACTTTCGGCACTACAAAATGAATACAAAATCATTTAGAAGTTTCCTAGCAGGACTACTTTTTATATACCCGCTTTAAATAGAAATGGCACCCTACAAAACATGTGAATTTTGTGAGCGTGGCAAACGGGATAAAAAATATAGAATGAGTATCAAAACATTGTGAATTAATTGTAAAATTACCTGCAAAATATATAGCATTCACTATCACGGCACCGAACAATCCACGAAATCCTTTTTTCAAATTCTGAAAGTAAAAAAAAAACATTTTACTTCCATAATGTAAATATATATTGTTGAGAATTGTGTTCTTTATAATTATAAATATAGTCATAAGTAAATTCATTTGAACGATGTATAATCCCGAGTAACGGTAAATGTTGCGAATATCTTGTACATCTGCAAGACAACCGTTAATAAAAGTTTACATGATAGCTCATGTACCCTCGGCGAGCTATCATAAAACTAGAAATATTGGAAATATTTTAAAAATGTAAAAATATAGGTTAGTTAGTCCTGAACTCTTGAACAAGTAACAACTAAAATATTATAATAAAGCGCTAAATAAATTTTTGTATCTAAATAAATTCTTTGATTTCACACACTTCCAGAAGAGCTACAAATGTTCCAATTCTCGTCGTTAAGTATTCCAAATAAACTATAATCTACTCAAGAAGTTATTAAAAATTGGTTACATTTATTCATTAATTAGTAAATTCATTACTAACGTCTCTTCAATATATATATATATATATATATATATATATATATATATATATATAAAATTAATAATACACATCTCACAAACATACCTTGTATACCATTCACTGGCATGCCTCAGCCAGCTTTTTGTAGCCTCTGAGATGGCAAACTTGGTTTCATTAGGTAAGTTCTTTAGAACAGTTTCTGAAATTATTCATATGTAAGTTTTATACATAATTTACAACATATCATAAACATAGGAACTATAAATTACCATTGATGATATCGCACAGCACAAGCTCGCAATACTTGTGCTTTCCTTTACCCCCTGCCCAGCTGAACTCTCCTAGCCAGGCCATCATCAAATATCAATTTAATCAATTGTACTGTGACAGATTTAGCACATTTTCCACCTGTCCTAGCCAAATACAAAATCTAAAAATAAAGACTAGTTTATAATAAAGCTAACTAATAAACATAAATTTGGGTGAACTTGTGATTACCAGTTGTGTTTTCACATCCTTGTTGTTTCTTAGACTATCCTCCACTTCTCGAAGTTCGTCCATTGAGCACAGAGGAAACTTGTTTAAAATTTCCTTGATTTGGCCCATGTCACTACTCATGACAGCCTTAGGAGACTGGAAGGAATCCATTCTCAACATCATTTCCTTCACTTGCTCCTCAAGGCCCTCCATGGTTAATCGAACTTTAGTCATCTCCCTGATGAAAATTTCCTCGCCAATTGAATCTAGCAGGGTAGAAATGCCAGCATTATAAAATATATATTTGTACTAGTAACATAATATTTCAAATACCATGCAGTATACAAAAAGCTTTACGTACAATTATTATCTCTGTTCCGTCCAATTTGTCTGCAGCTTTTTTTCTGGAGAAGTAATCAATGTCTCCAAATCATTATTCATGTTTTCAATTGGCTGTTCTGCACATATATTTATTCTTGTGCAACTTTCCTGTAGATTTGCAGAATCAGTAATAGCTGTTGCCTGGATATTAGCCTTTACATAGTAATTCACACGCCTTTGAAACTGCCTCTTTGAAATAAATTTAACACTTTTGAATACTTTTTTTTGGCGCCATATTATATTAGAAGTTTTAAAATACTATATATTTTAGTGTGAACTCAAATTATAACTCTTAGATAGAGAACTAAACTGATAAAAATGTAAATTTATTTTTTTCAAGTATGATATAAATTATTTATTACACACTCAAATATACATTAATTATATAAAACACATGCAATTTCCACTATTATTAATCAAGTTTAGAGCATTTGGATTTTCAATATTATTTATTAATAACACCACATATATATTTAAACAGAACAAATGAAATTTTCACTAATAATACTCAATTACGCAACAACTATAAAAGAATTCGACATATAGCGTCAGTAGCTTAATTGATGACGCCAAGCGACGCGACGGCGAAGAGAAAGGGACAAACATATACGTTTAGAGGTCTCAAGCCGTGCGCGTATGAGATCGACATGTCGTGAACCGTTCGTTATACCTGCTCGAGTCCTTTGGTTTTGAGACGTCCCGTTGCATATTCATAGGATATTCATAGGATATCGCGATATTGGGAGATTGTGAGGACAAGTGGGACATTCCCTGGCATGTCTTGTGCTGTCTGGGAAGGAGCTGAAAATTTAAAAGATCGAAGACTCGAAGAGCGTTGTTGAGTTATGCGCTTACCAACACATTTTGCGATCCATTTTTATATATAATATTTTATAAAACCTAATTTCTAACCCTACTCATAATCCTAATAAAAACATAATTATAACTATAATATTTATTATAAATCTAATAAAAAATATATGTATTAGGAATATAAAAAATCAAATTAATTATAATCTTATCAAAGCATAAAGAAAAAATTATTAAAATAAATCTTATTTAATTATTTAAACTAAAATAATCAAAAGAATTAAAAAATAACATTCTTCTTAATCGAAAAGAATAGTATACAGTTAACCCAATTCTAAAATAAAATAAAAAAAAAATTAATAAATTAAAATTAATTGTATCAAATGAATAATCATTCCTGAACATATAAATAATAAAGCCTTAAATAAAGTATGTATTAAAAGATGAAATAAAGCGAATTTACGTATATTAAAAGATAATCTTCTTATTATTGCTCGTTGCCTTGGCCGATGAGGCTTTCGTCGACTTACCCTAAATGGTCTTGTTCATAGATAAACACGTATATGGTCTTGTTCTTACCGACTGTCGTCTTAGGTTTCGCCGACGACTTTTTTAATGTGCCCGCTGCGGATGCAGACTTCTTTTTAAGGGACGAAGCAGGTTTGGCGGCGCCCTTCGACTTTGCTGTCTTCGATTTTATTTTTATCGCTGGCTTCTTAGCGGTCCTAGCTTTTCCAGCCGAAACACCGCTTTCGCCGCCCCTCTGTCTAGCGGCAAGTTTATACGAACCCGAAGCACCGTTGCCTCTCGTATGAATGAGTGTTCCCATTTCAACTGCCGACATTAAATACTTTCTGATGTATGTTGATTTTTTCTCGGCGTCGATTTTATAATTGGCCGACATATATTTCTTGATCGCCTGCAGCGACGATCCTCCGCGTTTTTTCAGGCTTGCTATGGCGTCGTTGACCATTACGTATATGGGAGGATAGGGCGCCCTCACTCGCTTTTTCTTCGATGGGACGGCTTCACTCGACGATGCTGTAGCTGGCGCAGCGGTTCCCACCGGCGACGCGGATAAAGCGTTATCTGACATTATAGTAAAACTAGCTGTAAGTGGAATTCTGTCTTAAGGCAATTAGGGCATCGTGCCTTAAGGCAAATTGCTGGAACTTCCCGTACCAAAAATTATTATTTTTTTAAAAACGATTGACATTTTTTTTTTGAGAAACTGTAAATTTGATAAAAAATTACTTTCTTTTGAAAAAAAAAAATTTTTTTTTTGAGAAAAAAATTTTTTTTTTGGAAACAAAAAAATTCTTTGAAAAAGTTTTCTTCATTTTGACATATTTTGGAAATTCTGAACTTTTATTCAAAGCAATCGCACTGCTTGAACTGCATAGAGACAAAATGTCAAAGCTCGCAAGTGCCGCGCCGCCGTCTAACGCATAAGCATTGGTACGGAACCCATAGAAATGTAAAAAAAATATACTTATTGTTGAAATCTCTATAAAAAATATCTGATAATTTGAGGTGCATATGTCAAATGATCATTTTTAACCGCCGAATGGCATTTTTTTTTTTTTGCTTTTTTCATTAGATCTCCGAAACCGCTAGACCTGCCTTCATGAAAATTTGATCAATTCTACATCTTGTCAATACAAGTCAAATGTTTTTTGAATTATTAAATTCGGACGCTCCGTTCTCTTAAAAACTGAATTACCGTTTTCGGCACTTTTTGCCTTGTATCTTTGGAACGGCTGGAGCTGCCTTTGCCAAAACTAATCAGCACGTCTTCTTATCAATACGAATCGAATGCTTTTTGAATTATTCAAATCGGTTGATCCGTGTTCCCGAAATCGTCGACGAAAATTTGTATCCGCACATACATACATCCATTTTTTCTAAGGTATGCCAAAATGTTCAGAAACCTCTGAAACGTAAAGATATATAAAAAATTTCATTTTCGATTTTTTTGCGATTACTATAACTTGCCCTACGGGAAGTTAAAAATGGTTACGTTTGGCTACTTTTGATGTATTAAAACTATATTTGAAAAGTGTAGGACCGAGGAGAAAACAATAATATTTGAAAATTTTACAAAAATGAAAATTATTTGTAAAAAATTAAATCCAGCGCTTTTGTTTTAAATAATTCGCTGGATTCGCTTACAATGGATTCACATGATAGCTAAATTCATCCCCAACATATCATCAAAAGCATGATTTATTTCAATCGTTAGTTTTTCTAAAATATCGCTCATTATATTCAAGTAACATATCAACTCTCATACATACAAATCCAAAATCCAAATATGAAATTTCTTATTGACTCAGGCTCCACAAAATCTTTCATTTGTCCAGAAATCGCTAACAAATATTTCAAAAATTTTATTTACTCTGACCCTTGTACAATAAAAACTGCTTCAGCAACACACAAAGGAAATTTTGCATGTAATATTCCGAGTTTTAAAGAGTTCAAAGGTAATGAAAACCTGCCATTCCATCTTTTTAAATTTCATGAAACCTTCAATGGGTTATTAGGTATTGATAATCTTAAAAAATTGAAGGCAATAATAGATTTAAATAATGGGTTGATAGTGTTACCCAATACTAATTTAAACTTACATTATTTAAAAAGTCCGGCAAAAATACTTTTTAGTCAACAGATACCAGAAAGATGCATTCAAAAATGTAAAGTCCCAGTTAACATTAAAGAAGGTGAAATTCTAATTACAAGGCAAAATTTTCCAAATTGTTTCATTCCAGATACCGTAACATTAGCAAAAAACAATGAAGCCATAGTTGAAATTCCTAACCTAACAGAAAACGAAATTAACTTAACATTAACCAAACCTTTACAAGTAGAACTCACAAATGAAATAGAATTTTATAATTTTTGTATCTGACTCAAATATAGATTTTTCCGATATTGAAAACCTAATACGGACTGACCACATGAATCTCGAAGAGAAAAATGCTATTTTAAGAATTTGCAAAAAATATAAAGACACTTTTCATAAACCAGATAGTTTAGAAGAAATTATTTATAGTTTAGTTATATTGATGACAATTATTTTAAGTGACATAAAAATATAAATAGATTTAGCTAAAATGAATTTAATTCATAATTCAATAATAAAATTAGATAATCTGAATTTTATGATTAATACTATAAAGCATTTATACAGTACAGATTCACTACCATTTTCCATAGGCGATAGTAATCTTCACAAACATTACAATTTATTAAAAATTCAATATTATTATACGGATGATAATAATAATCTACTCCAAACTTATAAACATTATAAATTGTTTCCAATTCCAAATACCGAAAATAGAGTCATTATTCCACCTAAACCTTTCCTTAAAATTGGCAATAATAACTATCAATTTGATGATGCAGATTGCAGAGCAGTTTCAAAAATATATTTCTGCAATATTAAACATATCCTATCAAATAATGACGAATGCATAATAAAATTATTACAAGTAGACAACACTCACATCGAAACATGTAATGAGGTTCAGGTTAACATTTCACACAATATCATAGAGCAAAAAATGATGCACACTATATTTTTAACTTCCCGAAGGAGAAGTTTATGTTTTCATCAAAAAATCCGATTCGCTAATTTTATGTTTTCTCGACGTTTCAAGCCATTCTGAATCGAATGAGACCAAATTTGGAAAAAGTATGTGTGTGTGTGTGTGTGTGTGTGTGTGTGTGTGCGTGTGTGTGTGCGTGTGCACCAACAGATTTTTTGCCGTAAATCGCCGTTTTCTCAAAAACGGCTGGACCGATTTCAAAAATTTAAAAGCCATTCGATGTATCTCGATGAGGACTATTGTTTGTCAGTTTTGTGCGACGATCGGCCAAACCGTTTCTTCGTAAATAGCAGAGAAGTGAAAACTCTTTCGTCCACGTTTTAGCCCGCAGTTATGAATCGATTTTGAAAATTCAAAAACCGTTCGAAAGATATTGGTTGGGAATCGTGCTGATTAGTTTTTGGTAGAGATTTGAAAAATCAAAAACTGTTCGAAAGATATCATTTGGGAATGATGCTGAAAGGCTGAAAATTTAAGCCTTTTTTCATGGAACTTTTTTTGGCGATATACATCATGGTCTTATAGAATTTACTGTAATATTACGGCCTTACAACAAGTAGTTTAATTTTAAAAATTCGTCAAACTTTGCTAAAATTATAATCGTTTTTTTAAAGTAGGATTGATGAAGTATATTATTTACACATTTTTTTTTTGATTAAGTCGATTATTTACACATATCGGGAAGTTCATGTATCAAGAATTGATATGTCTTGCAATCATCAAGAAGAAACAAAATTTATTAAAGGAAAT